TTGCAGTTAAGCAATTCATAAATAACTAAGGGTGACTTCTTATGTTCGCAGCTCATACTCAGCAGAAACCAGACATCACTCCACCAAGCTTCACTACAGTCCAGGTTTCTGACATCTTTCAAAGACTGGTGAGGAAAAGAAAGCCTCTTTTTAGATATGGGATTGATGCTTTTTTGAATCAGCTGTATAATTTGTCTCTATGATTTCTTTCATCTATATCAAGGGGACTTATGAGAGCCCCAGAGTTTGGAGCAAGCAGTTGTTATTTGGCTACAGTTGTAATAAAAGTTTTGAATAATTTGTAATAATTCATACTTGCAAGACTAGTATAAAATATCAGTCAGTTTGGTCCCAAGAAGAAAATAGAGCTTAAAGAATGACTAGCTAATATCTAGGGTTTTGAAATGGTTTAATTGAACTTTAGAACAAAGTCTGACCAAAATTTGATTAAGTTGCCAGAAGAAGGAGAAAATGTGGATAATAAATAAACTCTGATATTTTTGGAGGCAGAGTGAGCAAATATTTCTGTCAAGATATGGAATGCTTCTATAAACTATTATTATATTTTTTTTTGACATATTAGTTTGTTTTTCTGTTGAACTTGACATAATAAATGTCACATTCGATGATTTTGATTGACATTACATTTAAGTTTTTTTTGATAGGGACAGACACACTTCACAAAAAAAAAAAAAGAAAAAAAAAAATATATATATATATATATAATTGATTTAGAAATAATCAAAATAGTCAAACAGAACTGCTTCCTGTGCTGCAGGGCCCCTTGTCAGTGTTCTGTGCAAGGGCCCGCTGGGGCCCCCCACGTGTGATCTGCCTGCAAAAAAGAGAAGGTGGGATGGGTCTCACACTCCGAGGGGATTCCCCTGTCCTGGTTGCTGGAGTCGTACCTGGAGGCTGTGCAGAGGTGAGACTAACTGCATGTTCTAAGGATTCAAGCCTTAAGAAGAATGAAATAAAAACAAGATCCATACAAATCCTCGGGAAAGTATTTGTATGCATAAAATGTATTGACAAGAAGTTCTTGATGCTTAAATAATGCATTAACGATCGGTCATGGAACTAAAAGGAACCAAAAACACACTTTATGTTCAACTGTTGAATAAAGAATAAAGTTTCAGAACAAAAAGTAAGAGATGAGGACGATGAAAATTATGTAAAAGATATGCACCAATCAGAACTTTGTCCGTGCTATCTAGTTTTTCAGCAAAATAAATTAGTTTAGTTTCCATGAGTTGATAGAATCTATGTTTGATCGGGAAAAAGATCAAATTGTTAAGTTTTCTTACTTGTAGGTCACTGATCAAGGCAAATCAACTGAAAATTAAACTAGTAAAAACTAAATATTTGTTACAGAGAATGTAAAATTAAATGTTCTGTTATTTGTTTTTTTTCTCTATTTTGTTTGATGTTCAGGAGGCAGGTCTAAGAGAGGGAGACTACATTGTAGCAGTGGATGGACAAGACTGTAAGTGGGCCAAACACGGGGAGGTGGTTCTCATGCTGACGAGCAGCAGTGACGGAGAAGTAGAGATCAGTGTGGTGACCTTACACTCACATGACACACAGGTAAATGCGACCATTTGTGCGCAGGAGATGCAGATCTGAGAGATAACTTGTATTGAATAAATCATATTTGTCCATCCAGGTGGAGAGAAAGGCGGCCATGTTGTCCCACAGCAGAGACAAAGAAAACAGTCGCCAAAGGCTGCTGGGCGGGGCCAAGGGGCAGAGCTCTGCCTCCTTGTTGAACTGGAACAGGAAGAAAAAGAGGGAAGGCAGCGGTGTCGCCAAGAAACTAGGAAGCACTTTTAGTTTGTCTTTTGGAAATATCCGTGACACGGAGGCCATGTACTGAGACGGGACTGTGGAGGAATCACTCAGGGACCCACAACAGCAGAGAAGGTACGGTGTGCAGCAACGGTTGGTGCCGAGCAAAGGAGCTCAAGCATAGAAAGGCAAGTCTCTCTGGAGAACTGGACATTTTTTTAAGTCGAAATGTGAGTTGATTTGGCAAAACCTGCCTATAATGAAGCTGTGACATAATCATGGAATGAAAAAGTCTACTTTAAAACATTGTGGCTTTGTTTTTACCTTGCATACTTTTTAAAAATTTGCTTGCATCAGCAGATAAAATCCTGATATTCTCTGCTGTAAATTTACTGCTTCTACAAAATGACACTTAGGGAAATCATAAGAAACAATAACGAGACCAGACTGTAACAAGAGCACTGAAGGGAGTTTCAGTATTATTGGAAAAATCAGTTATTTTCTCCAGCTAAGAAAGCCTCAGTGGTTGCATCCCTATGTTTTCAGTACATACTGTACCAAGGTACGCATTGAGAGTTGAAAAATGTGTTGTTAGTTGAAAGTTTTTGTACTTGTCTTTAGGACAGATAAAATCACCCTCACTTAAAAATGTTAAGTCAAAATACAAATCAAACATTTCTTACTTAAAAACGTTTAATGATGTTTTCCTTTTATTTTCAATCTTTGTCTTCATCAGCATCAGCCTCTTGTCTGCAGATCTTGGATTAAGACACTTATCATCAAATGAGGGAATATATTGTACTGTAAATACAAACCCGTTTGATTTTATTGGTTTTACTACAAAAGAAAATCCAGATCCAGAAAAGATAAATCTATTACATTGCTGAATGAACCTTCAGGGATTGTGATTAAGAATTAGAAACAGTATAAATATTGAATGTTTTATTATGAGCCAATGATGCTGACTGTGTTTTAATGAATTAAAATGTTACTTGGGGAGAATCAAGATTTAAATTCATCTTTGTAATGCAGTTGTCAATCCACTCATTTAGCACAGACAAAATAATTGTGTTGCTTAGGAAGGCAAATACTGAGGAAAAAACATAAGAGTAATATTTGGAGAGAGGAGTTATCAATTAAAAGCTTCCAATCAAATAAATTTTCAGTTCGCACTACAGGGGGCGCCCTTTCACATTAACCAGACCAAAAAAAAAAAAAAAAAGCAATAACAAAATGTTGCTCTGACTGCAAATGACTCGTTTTTTTACATCATTTTTGACAAGGGTAGACAGTGAGAACCTCAGTGAGCACTTAAAAAAACACTAATGCATTGTTCTGAATCCTAAATAGAGCATCAGTTACTGATTGTGCTTCTTGGTACTGTACCTGGTGAACATTGCAGCTGATATATAAGACTGAGTTATGTCTCGAGTTCCTACACATTTTGTAGAAGTATTAAATTTGCTTTATTTCACCTTTACTTTCCACATATGAGCATGAAAAACAAAAAATGAAGCATGAAAAGAAGTATTTTGAGACAGTTTTTCTCTTTTCACTTGAGTTAAAGATGAACATTTTTTATCTTTTGGTAAATAATTACCCAAAGAATCATTTATTGCAAACTTTGCGCACCAGGCCAAACAATTTAAGAGCAAACCACATGTATAAAACGTAATTTAAGGGTTCACCCTGCTTGAAGGCATAATGTAGCTTTTCCATTTCGTTTTACAATAGGAAGAAATTGGCAAGAACTGTGGCTTTAAATGTTTTGATGAAAAGTCAGTCACTTTGTATCCTCGAAAACACAAAAATGCCCTAACAATCAACTGGACATGAAGGGAAATTTATGAATGTTTGGATGACTATGGTGTGAGACTCAACTCTCCTTGAAATTGTTAATTTCTCTTTAGACTATTAGCACTTGAATTTTCATTTGCTTTGCATTTTTTATAGTGTAGACATCTTTAATGCACTGTGAATTTTTTTGTGTTTATTTTGTAGTTTTATTGTTACAATAAACTCACACTGAGGCTGTTACTTTTTCTGGTGAAGTATTTCATGTGGTGCAACTATTCCAATGTCAACAGTGGGTTATTGAATGTATATATGAGTCAAGTCACTGTTTTAGTTTCTTTAGTTGAGGATGTTAATGGGAAAATACTTTCATTGTTTTTTTTACATTTTAAAAACTAAAACAGGCTCATAGTATGGCTTGTTTCAGGTCAGATTCTCCTGTAAAAATGTGTCGTTTCACTTCAGTTGTTTTTTCTAGCGATAGTCTTTCGTAATGCACAGATGAAGCACACAAATGTTTTGTATGTTTTCTTTAGGTTGGGTTTCATAAAAATCTAAAATTCACTCCAAAAGTACTATTTGTAATAAAACAAAAGCCTCTGTTTTACTTTGATAAATTCAGTGTTATTGTCAGCAACTTTGAAGACAGTATTTCAGTCTTTGGTGTTTCAGACACTTCAATGTTTTGTGTCCTGTTTTTAAATCTGGTAAAAACGGGACACATGGCTGACTTTTTTGTTTGAAAAAAGTCAGCCATGATAAATTGAATTCGTGTTGTGTGTCTGACAGTCCCTAACAGGAGTGTGCACTGTCTTTGATATATAAAATGCCATCAAATTGATAAACACAGTTCACTTGTGAGAAAACAACACAATATTGAATTGTTTTATATAAATGAAAAGTCACCTGTGTTTATTTTAAAGAAAGTGGTTTAATTACATGTGAAAACCAAAAATGAACCTTGTTTCACTCATTAAAAGAATTTAAAAATGGTGAGTTCTGAGGAAAATGATAGCCGCCACCGTACCCAACTCCTCACCCTCAGCTATGAAATGTTTAAAAAAATGTATTTTTTTTTCATGTCACCCATCAGAATCTCCATAAATTCAAAATCTGAGTTTTTTATTTTTTTGTTTTCAGTCAGTCCTTGGAGGACTTCCTGGTATGTTTTGAGTCCATGGCATGCAATAGTTTCCAGTTCTGGATCAGGCCACATTTTCTTCAAATATCCTCTGATACTCTATAGAAGTCAAGTTGGAATCTATGGCGATGAGCTGGCCAGGTCCAGCTGAAACAAAGCTCCCCCCACATAACACTTTAGTTATTAATATAGCAATTATTGTGAAAAGTAACGAGGTAGAAGCTCAATACACGCATGTCTAACTGTTGTATAACCAAAGAGAAGAGCACTCAAACTGTTAAGGGATTTTTTTTGTTTTATTAAATATCAAATGTAGAATTTTGAGCCTAGCTACAGTGCTTACAAAGTCTCTTGGATCCAGTCTGGGGAAAACTTCATTTATTCCACCAAATTATTTCCTAAATCACTAAATGTCAGCTCATAAGATGCTGTTCCTGCATCTTTTCTGCTCACAATATCCATTCACGAGTTTGGATCCACATGGAGAGAAGAGCCATGATGCTTCAGATAAATAGTCTCTGGCCATCTTCTGATCTCAGGAGACCCCCAGGGCCCCTGCCGACCCCAGCCCGCTCTGTTCCAGCTCTGCTATCACCGACATATGCTTAAAGTCTTCAGGCTGGTGGTTAAACATCTCCACCAATCGGTACGTCTCCTGCCTCTGTGTGCCGTAGAACAGCTGCACCTGATTGGCCAAGCACTGAGCCTGGTGGACAGTCTGAGAAATAGAGAGATGCTTTAAATGTCCCCAAAGACATTTTAAAACACAAGATTTAAAGACAGGCTTACGATGAACTTGGGATCCATCTCTGCAGTCATGAGCACGACGCCCTTCTCCTCCTTCAGCTCTGGGTAGTGGTAGAGGATCAGCTGACTCGGAGCGTTCTCGCCAAGCGTCTGCGTGCAAACACAAGAAAAAAAAACTGAATGCTGGCAAACATATTTTAATGCAGATTTGCTGATTTTAGATGTCCATTGCATAAAATATCTACATAACAAATGAGTTCTGATATTTTTAGAAGTGCAGCAGTACAATCAACATATTAGGCTGGTAAATAGGTGAAGTCATGACGTCAATGTCTGACGTTGCAGAAATCCTAGATTTGTTTGAAGATTGTTAAACAGAAATTAATTTTAGATCAGAAAGGACCTGAATAAACCTATTCTGACAATTTTATGTTAAAATAATGACGAACCAGAAAATACAAAAATATATGGAGTTTGACTTCTGTTTGAAGATGCTCAGCTTGTTTTTTGGAAATAAATAAAATTACAGATATGAGAAATTAAGTGTGGATCATTCTGGCCGTGTAGAATATGCCTAAAAAATTCACTGAAATTGTTGCATTTTATTCAATTGATATTACCTTAAGTCAAACAACTAACCTTTCAAATGACCTGATTATATTTGTTTTGCCAAAGTTCATATTTCCAGGTCTTTCAAAGAACAAAAACATGTGTAGGAAAATTTGAGAAGCAACCTGAACTAAAGATGAGCTCACTTCCTGTCTTTCGGAAGTGTGAGGTATCAAATGTGAATCGGTTTACCTGGATGTTTATGAGTGAGGTGAAGTGCAGCTCATGTCTGGACCACTGACCCACAAAGAACTCATAGCCCTCCTTCTGAGGCAGAGCGTAAAGGAACTGGAGAGAGCACACAGACGGAGGTGAGGAGGGAATCCATGATGGAACAACAGTTAGCAATGAAAAATCTGAAATGATTTTGGTTCTGCAGACCACAATCTGTCTCTCTCACACACACACACACACACACACACACACCCTGATTTGGTGCCCGTTCTGAAACAGGGATCTTACCATGGGGCAGGATTTGGATCTGCTGAAAATCACCTCATACATCTGGGACTGCAAACAAGACAGAAGACGTATATTAGATGATCGTCTGCACCTTTTTAAAGTGGAGATGTAAACTATTTACATTGAGGATTCATCAATAATGAACTCACTGGAATGGCGGCGCTGATCGTGTCTTTGGTCGAATAAAACTCCATCCAAAGCTGGAAGAGTAGAAGATAACAGTTCAGTCTAGACCTATTTTGCTATTTTCAAATAAACCCCCCCAGAGGGCGCTATAGAGTGAAAGTGAATCTGAAGGTTTGACCTCAGCGACAAAAAGAACAGAAAAATATTGTTTTAGTTTAGCTTATTTTGATCAGGATGAGAAAACACAGTGGAACCTACATAGATTTTGCTTAGACCTATGTGGTTTCATCTTACAAACCAAATCTAGCTTGACGTTAAATTCAGTCAAATTAACTTGGTCTGTCTTGGACATTTGGTATCGTGGAATGTTACTTTTGAATTGTCCCATCCACAGTAAAAGATTACAAGTAAACGCAGTATGGCTTAGCAGGAAGTGTTTTTTTTAAATTATTATTATTATTTTAAACAGAAAGCTCATAGACCAAGCTCACCTGTGAGATCTCCTCGCCAGTCTTGTCCTTGATCATCTCCAGATTAAGGATGGAGCCTAATGTCTAAAGGAGCACAAAATTATTTTTACACATCTTCCTCTTGCTGAAAGGTTTTAATTTATCTCTTTTATATATATAAAAAGTTTAATTAATAGTATTTAATTGTTGTTCAGTATTTTTGTAAAACAAAACAAAAAACGTAACTAAATTATTGTTCAGCCTTTCAAACAGTGACTCTAAAAGCTAAACACATTCAAGATCTGATCCTCACCTTGTTTTTTGTAAAAGCTCCAGATGCTCCATCACCAGCTGCCATCTTATCTCTTTTCTCAAACTAAAAAAGAGGAAGGAACAAAAGGAGTTATTTCTTTTTTCTGATTAAAAATAACCAATGCCTGAACATGGAGCTAAGCAGAAACATCACCTCCTGCTCCATGACCCGGACGAACTCTGCCTGCTTGGAGTGTCCCAGGACATCCTTCTTGGCCTCATGCCGCTTCTCCAATCGCTCCTTATATTCCTGGGGTTTCGCACTGAAAGCAAACAGAAGACAGATCACTATTTGCTCCACAACAAGCTTCTTCAGTTTAATACTTTTCATGTTTTACTGCCAAAGCTTTGCAAAAACACAAAATCTTAACAAGTATTTTTGGTCTAGTTTCTAGTGAAAATATCTTGGGACACTTGAAATAAGGCAAACCTAACTTTTCAGCAAGGTGGAGGAGCTTAAGTCAATCATTTCTTAATAATGATGGAAAAAAACAACTTCCATTGGCAGATTATTTTACTTTAAAAAATTGGGAAAATGTCTTGCTGTGGAAATGGAGCTTTTTCCATATCAGGTTGATCAGAAGGGATGCACCTTAAAGCTGAAGGTCAGCAGTTCTCACAGGCATTTAGCTGTTTTAAATTTAAAATGCATCTTTAATGGACCTGTGCTTAATCTGCCAAGCCGAAAAGTGAGTCTCCAGTGGGAGATTAATACTGTTATACTCGTATGGAAGTTGACATTTGCTTTTTGTACAAAAATCTGAATGCTTTACTGTGTTACTATGGGCACAGGCTGCAGTACAGTCCTGCATACATATGTGGCTTAGTCAATTTAGATTACATTTGACTTACTACAGTGAATATGTTTAATGCATTTTGTAGCATTTTCAAATAACTGGTATTGATTTTTCTTCCACATTTTTTCTATTTGCACTTTCCAGAATTTTACTTTATTCTGCTGCTTTTGCCTATTTCTTTTATTTGTGCAACTGATTTCAAATCCTTCTGAAATTTTCACTAAAATATTCAATGTATAGCATACACGCTGCATTTTCGCAGGAAATGCATCCCCCCCTCAGTTAACATACATTTTCAATAGTTAGCATGTAAAAGGTTGATTATTTTGGTCATGTCCACTCTTCCTAACCATGGGCTAAAATTCGGCACAATGTTCAAGCTTGCTGCTGAATTGGTCTAAAATGTTCACGCCTTTTTCTGTAGGACAACATTGCGGTAACGCCTGACTACTTTTTATGAAATAAGGTTTAAAACCATTTACAGACTTAAAATAACAGCATGGACTAATGGGCCGAAATGATTATTTGACATTAAGTGTTTCAGTCACACTTTCCTTGGCTCCACTGACTACTCTCTGTGCTGTAGTATCTAATGATCTTTAAAATAGCCGACTACATAACGGGGTTCCGGACGCAGCTAGCTCCGTCCGCTGGCTGACCTGCGCAGCTTCTGGATCTTGTCCTGGTACTTGCTGTAGAACGGATTCTCCTCCAGCTCCGGATCCTTTCGCACAGAGAAGGCCCGAAACTGTTGTGGGACCAGCCCGGGGATCAGCGTCCTGGTGCCGGTGGCTCTGACGGCCAACATGCCCCGATAGAGACATGACATTTGAATCAACGCCGCCGACATCTTCCCATCGCTGCCGTCCCACATCTATAATAGTCCGACCACATATGTGGCGGCGCATGTTTTTGGTTCCGCCTTTCCAGAAGTTTGGGGTTTTTTTCTCTCTCTTTTTTTTTTTCAAAAGAGAGATACTACAGATACTAGAAGTATCTGTAGTATACTACTACTAGTATTTGTAGTAGTATCTGTACTACAGATAGTATCTACAGACTCTCTGTCTGTAGATACTACAGACAGATAGTAGTATCTATCTCTCTGTCTGTCTTTCTGTCTGTCTGTTTGCCTGTTTGTCTGTCTGAAAACATAAAGGCCTTCAAACTTTGACCTTAAAACTGTCAGTTTTTTTTAGGACATTACAAATAAAATCACACCCTACAACCACCTATATCAAACATGTTCTATTTTCAAAACCTTATGAATAAACACTGTAAAGTTGTAAGAACTCCTTAATGGAAATATCAAATGAAATGTCATGTCCTAATGTAAGTTTTTGTAATAGTAAGGACTTGCAGATTGCATGTGATTGCTGAGACACCTGTCACCCTGTAGAGGTCAGTACAGACTATGTTTTGCCCCTGCTTCAATCCTCAGCTCCCATTTCTGTCTTTAGTTAAAGCCCTCATCTCTGTCGATCACAAAGCTCAGCAATAATCTGTTGCAGCCTGTGTTCTGTCCTCACAGCATGTAAACACACACTCATCTCTCTCTGTGTGTTTGTGCAAATGTTCACAGACGCTGTGCATTTCCCTCATGATGGTTTGAGTGCTTCAGTGTTTACGCTCCGCAATAATTTCTTCAGTTTCTTCTGATCAATAAACAGAGCAGCTGGAACAGTTCAGTGCTTCTGGAGCCCAGCATATGACAACAAAAATGTTTGTGTTTATGTGTTTACATTGTGTCTCAGTCGTTCATCACCGCACCACGTGGTTGACTGTACCGTTTGATTGTACATAATACATATCAGTTTGGTCATAAACAGCTGTCGCTCATGGAATTTTATAATAAATAATTTTGCAGATAAATATGCCTTTTGATAAATGACATCATTCACTGTGCAGCAGGGAAATGTGAAAAAAGAAGGGTGGGTTTTATGATCAGGCAACATGCCTCAGTGATCTTTGTTCTGTACTGTCAAAGTTATTAAAAAGTTTTTTTCAAGTCTCAGTCCTTACGTAGACAGAAGCATTTCTCATACTTCCTGAGAGGTAAGTCAATTTGAAGTGAGACAATCAATTTTAATAGAGCTTGAGCTTTTAAAGATGAAAATGCTGCACCTGCCTTCTTCAGAACCTGCTGCAGCTCTGGGTCACTTTTCTGGATGAAAAAATCTTTTTGAATACAAACATTTACACAAAGTCCAAACTTGTAAAAACCAGCAACTCTTTGTGACAACAAAGTGATCATATATCATTTGTAGAAGGCAATGAAAAATATGAAATGACTGTTTCTCAAAAAAGAAACTCAAATTTAAAGTTCCAAAATCCTTTTTATGGCCTAATTTATGTTGACAGAATAAGAACATCAGAATATTTACACATATTAACTGTAAAGTTTGTCAGATCACCTTCTGGTTGTACAAATAATGCAAAAATAATACTGCACACTGAAACATAACACACTTTTATCCATGTGGATGCTTAGGCAGAAAGCAGCTAGAAGTTAGCAGGAGGTTTGGGGCTGAAAAGGTCCCACAGCATCACAGATCGTCCTTCATACAAAGTAGGAAATCCATTTTCTAAATATATCTCCTTTGTTTGATACCTGACCTTCTTGAAGTTGTTGTTGCTGAAAGGCTCAATCTAACTGTCATCTTTACCACAGCACAGATTTCCAAATAAAGTCTCGGTACAGTTTGTCAAATGCCCCATGTTTACATGTAGCAATAAGACAGAAGAAACTTTTGTATGACAAACCTTTCATTCATTTGGGAAGAATGTCAAAGGAAACTAGTGGATGTTTTGGAGACTTGGTCATAGAAGCATACCATACTCTCTAAAATGACCTTATGAGATTTCTGTCATCCTCTTGTGTTTTCTCAAGAGAAACTCAGGACCTTGTCCAGCTCCCTTATCTTGATCGTGCTATGAGTATGGATATGGGCCAGGTTGTATTTTATGGTAACCTTTCTTTATTTAGAAAGATGAACACACGGCTGATTTTCTTCAAAGGCATGTTCTCTTGTCTTTTCCATTTCAATGATGAACTAAAAGACACAAGCCAAATTATATTTAAACAGCATGGATTACAAAAGAAAAAATCCAGGACTTGAACAAAATAGGTATAAATAAATTATGGAGTGTAAATATAAAATCTTTGGTCAAATAATTTTCTTTAGAAAAAAATGGTATGAAAGATTTTGTAGAGAAAAATGTAAATTTTATTAAAGAATTTCTCCCAACTAATAAACTTGTTCAGATTAACAATTTTTAAAAAGTTATTCTTTTTCAATGTAAATTGACAGAACTGCAACAACATGTATTTATTTAAGAGGTTTTCACACTTCTTGTTTGCTAATAATTATGCAGTGAACTCCATTAGCATCTTGTTCCCACAACAAAATAAAGTGTCGATCCAAAAGCAAAGGTGTGGTTGTAATATTTGTCATTTTTTCAGGTTGTCTTGAAAGATTTTTCGGTAGAAGATTTGCACTTTTTTTCATTCAAATACATATTTATCTTCTGTGCTCTCAGACTCTAAGCTCTTCTTTAAATCTCTCTTCTCACTGACCCACTGTCCCTCCTCCTCTTCCTCTGTGTTCTCTTGCTCTCTTTGTTATGGTGGTGGGCTGCTGTGTGGAGGATGTATATTTCATGCGCAGCTCTGGAGGCTTTTACCATTAATTATAGAGAAACACTAAGCTCTCCATTTGCCGGACAGATGTTATTTTTTACTTAAGGAGAGAAAGGGGACTGTTCCATAATTCAGAGGTAAATCCCGTTCTGCAGAGAACAAATAAATAAATGAATAAATAAATAAAGCAAAAACAAAAACCACAAACATCTGGTACAGTGCAGCTGCGTTCTCAGATGTGTAACACGGCAGCCGAAATACAGATTTTCCTCCGCAGCCTTCAGCCTCTAAGTGCCTTTTGTGTAATAAATATGGAACAGCTGCTTCATGCTTTCATTTTTTATTCAGTCTGCTGAAGGATTTCACCAAATCACACACTTTGTAGTTTCAGAACAATACAGTGTTTAGAACCTGCACAGAAACAGCAACACTCACAGATCAAACTATTAAACCCTTAAAGATGGATTAATTTACAGAAATCTTTTGATTTCAAATGAACTTGACTGCTGTTTTTAAACTAAACTCTCTCACCTCTTGAGTGAATTCATTGAGCACACGGATATGGTGAAGTAGCATTTTTATATTTAACACATCCTGGTTGAACAAAGTTTTAGTTCCTTACATTTTGTTACATTTTGCAAAATGTTAAATGACTTACAGTTCTCTCCAAATATATACAGAAAGTAAGCTTAAGAGACAGTGACTTTCAGAATCTGAAACACTACTTTATTTTTATTTCATATTTGACCAAGAACATTTGGTGATCACAACACCAAACAAAATCAATATTAGAAAATTAGAAGGCACAATATTTCTTCAATAAAGTCTTCCAAAATGTAATCAATGGATATATTTGGTTGCATTTGGGGGACTCGTCTGTAGAATAAAATTTGTGCTCTTGTTTAAGCCAATAGTCAGACTTGATAAATAAAGAAGCATTTATGTTTGGAAAATGGCAATTCATTTTAAAAGTGCCAGGACCTGAAATCAAGTGAAAACTGATTGCATACAGTGGACACTTAGGTGTACTACATATGTTACCTTACAAAATTCAATTTTTTTTCCTTTCTCTGGTCCATTCAATTCTCACCTTTCTACTTATTTTCTCACTGATCCACTTTTGATTGTTGTAAGTTATTTGCTGTATAAAGCTGGTTTAATTTGTGTGCTAAGATTTCTTTACCATTTAAAGCATTCACTCAGTCTATATTCTATATGCTTCAAATTATATTTGCTTGCTATTGAAAGAAAAAAAAAGCAGTGAGTGGAATTCAGTAAAAAGAAATGCTAAAGAATATCAACAGCTGGAGAGGAATGGCCAATGTATTTGGATGATATGGTTTAACAGGATTACTTCAAATGAGGATTGAGCAGATGTTTGTGCAAATAATGATTTGCTTGTTAGCTCCAAACAAATAATTGTTTCAAACATATGTAACTAATTTCCCTCCCCTATGAAATTATGCTGTGGAAGCTGGTAACAGGTCAAATGTAGGCTTGTAAAAAGCTTTAGAATCAACCAGAAGTAAAACTGGTAAAAACCATAGACGTTAACCATTTGCTACATGTAAGGAAAAAAAAAGATTTGCCAGGTTTGTAAAGAAAAAAAAATCCAGAAAATTCTCAGTTTGATTATGCAAAACACAAATAATTTTCAATGAAGTCTTTTATTTCATTGAGCTATTTGTCAAATGACATAAAATAGTTTTCTTTCAAAACTTTTGACTAACAATAAAAACCACAAGGTGCACATGAATGATTTAATCTGTTTTTAACCAGCTAGTTGTGGATGCTGTGTGCAGACAAAGCAAAGCAAGTAGCTCCGAATGTGATGCATAAAAATGCTTCGAGTGACAAAATCCAGAAATTTGTGCGTTCAAATGTACGATGCAGATCAGTCTTCTCCTATCTGGTTTCCATTGAGTTCTGACTATCCAGTTCAGAATTTGACCAGTTCTGATATTTTCATTCTGTTCTATAAAGAATTGGCATTCTGAATAAAAACAAATGCTTAAAGTCCGTGAGTAGGACATCAAAATTCATGCAGTTGGTTCATGAATTTATGGACTGAAAATGATGGAATTCCTTAGTTTTGATGGATTTAATAACAAAATATAAGAAACCTGATCATCCGATGCAGCAATCAAAGTTGAGAAAAATGTAATTATTTCTGATCTGACAATCTGATCACTGCATCTCAAGTTAAAAGGAAACTTAATGTTGTTCTTTTTCATTAC